TTAAACAAAGTTTTCTGTCTTGTTCGACTGTTCTGTAGAAAAGTATAAAATAATGAATTAATTTTATACTTCTAATGTGTGGCTCAGCTTAAAAGCCTCAAAGTTCGATCAATAAGTCGGTCTTGCAAATGAATGGAAATATCTTTCAAGTAAATTGAGGAGGATTTAGCGTTTAATCTCACAATATTCTCAATCTAATCTAAATCTTATTTATATTTGCAGACGGTGACAGAAATCTCAAACTGCTGAGCTCTGACTGGAACTTCATCCTCAGTAAAACATCATCAGAGGAGGTGATTCATTTCCTTTCTGCTTGACACCTCCAATAAGAAGACTGTTTGACTTATCACCAAAAACACAAATTCATTATGGTTCATTCATACTGACCATGGACACAGGAAATTAGCTCTGGGGCAGAAAATACAAATTTTTGACATATTTCAACTTTGTTCTTAAAAATGCGTCATTGTTGCACTTTCTAACAAGTTGTCTACCGGCATCCACCTTTTTTTCAAGGTTGTTAAAGGCAAAAAAGGGTCAGCCTAAAATGTGTCACTCAAACACTTCTATCAGAGTCTGTGCTACCAAACTGTCAATCATCACTGTACACTGATGGCCAAGTGCAGAGAGATTCTTTAATGTCTTTCTATTGTAAATGTCATCAAACAGTCAGGTTGGGTGTGAAGCTGTAGATGAGATGACGAGCACAATATACACATTAGCACTTTCTAACCCTAGCTTGGAGAGCTTGCACTGTCTCAACTAAAGATTGTACAGTGAATGTACAGTTGGGTCTTTCAGAATGAACATCCTGCTTTGCAGCTGAGGAATCTGCATCACCATGTGAGGCAAGGGTTTCAAGAGCAGTGAAAAATAAGTCATAGACTTCCACAACATCTAGGCACAGCACATCACAAAGTTAATATTTGACTGGCAGGACATCATTTTGCCTGTTATTAAGAGGTGTGTGATCACAAAGATTCGCAAGAGCAAACCATTCTCATCGCTCAGCTCCATTCACTCTACCATAAATGTTTCAAGGACGTTTTACCCAGGAAATATAGCAAAGAATGTAACAACACAAAAAAACCTTCAACAGAAAAAACCTAGTCACTGTGCAGATTTGTAGCTGAGCTGAGCTGCTGTGGTTTTGAGCCACTTCCTCTAGTAACCTGTCAGTCAGACTTGAGGAAGATGCCTTAGGTGAGAGAAAACAACTGAGGACACCACTGCTTTATATTTCCATCATGGTCATTAAGGTCTTCATAAGCAGCTCCACACACTTGTTTTCTTTGTGTGCCAGTGCTACTGGTCAGCAGTTGTCACTGACTGTTACCCTTTAAACATAGCTCTTAGTTGTAAGTTAGCTTGGGGGTTTAATGGCTGTTTTTTCAACCAATAAAAATGCAGTCGACAAATGAGCTAAATTAAAGGATAATTCCAGTATTTTTCATTCTGAGACCTATGGGTGTGTAAATGAATCCTACTTACAAAAGCTTTTTTGAATCAGTCCAGTAGATCACCTTGTTTTTAACCAATAAAAGGTTGTTATTCTGGTTCTTTGGCAAAAAAGCACTTTTAAAGATTGTTTAAAGATTTTAAAGACTGTCACAGTTGCCCTGTATTAATAACACTGTCATCACTGCCGCCTTGACAATCTACTGGACTCAATGTAAAAGTTGTAAATACCATTCATTTACCCACCTACATTAACAAACCCAAGTTGAAAAATACTATATTTCCTCTTAAGGACTATCTTTGAATGTCTTTGTGCAACCGGCATCTGATCTGACTATTACTACTATGACTATTGCAACATAGTCACAGACCCCAGATTTAGTCTTTCCTTATTCCCTCCCTCTGAGCTCTTTGTCCACTACAAAACTCCTGTGCTTCAGCTGAATACTCCTGCCATTTCTGTATTTTCTGCATGTTTCTGGACTAAGTTGGCAGCCAGTAACTTCAAGGTAGAGAAATTAACCCCAAGGCACAGATCCTGTTCGATAATCATCACTTAAAAACACAACTGTGATATCTTCAGGGGCAATTATTGAAAACCTCCATGACATGTCAGCTCTGGCTGAACTCAGAGCTGGACGTGATACATTCTGCCGGTGTATTGTCACAGATGAGTCCTGAGCAAGGAATGCTTTAAAACTCAATATAGAAAACTTTTGGGCCTGTGCTGCTTTTTATTTCATATACACTTTGTATTTGAAGACTGGTGAAAGAAAGGGCAATAAAAGGCATTTGACCAGCTTTAACCTCTAAAATTCACTTTCATATTGACAATACTGAGACAATGTTTGGTCATCACACGTGATCCCTATGGTGCTTCTCTCTATAGCAACAAAGAACCGTCTTTGCCAACTGGTGCACATCCATGTAATTACCATATAAATGTCTATGGCCCTGGTTTTGCTCCACACAAACTAACCCCTCTGTATTCCCACAAAAAAAAAACAGTATGTGACACATCCAAGCCCAATCTGTTTGGGCAGAAACGTCAAATGGCCTCTGAAAAAAGCTTCTATAGAGCCACAACCAGTCGGTTTTCTGCCTGAGTGAACTAAGAGGCTCAAACAACTAAACAAAATAAAACAAAGGCTGTACAGGACTGATTTAATGAAAATAAAAACAGTCAGAGCTTTCTCCTGTGTGCAATAAGGCTGCTGTAGAACCTGTGACCTCCCAGTCTGTCCAACCATCAATGCCATCCTGTCCTGAAAATATCATGGAGCTGTCTTCTCTGTCATGATGTATCCTAGCGATTGAACGCACACCGATTTCAGTATCAAGTGTTTGGTGACTCAGTTTTCCTCCCTGGGGAAGGATGAAGCTGTTCTTAAACACTGATCCACAGTCAGTTCTGCCATTCCCCTTCTGGCATGTGTTTGCGTTTGAGATGACTGTAAATCAGTGCACGAGGACAACTGGATGTAAGGGCTGCCTCCGCTCTGTCCACGGGTTGTTTGTCTTTATACCAAGCTGCTGTAGTTTTAGAAGGACAGAACCTTGTGGTGTTATGATCAACCCAAAGAAACATTGTCCTGTTGTGGTGTTGACCCTGATGTTTGAAAAAACTGTTCAGCTCTTTGTTTGCCAGAAAAACTATTTCCCTAGAAACTGCTATTTTAAAGTCATTTGTATTGTTTTTGCTCTTCTTTTGCAATTTCTCTCATGTTTTGCTTCCCAGGATGTGATTTATTTTCAATGCCTACTGTACAGCTGGTTTTCATTGTGTCTCTCCTCCTGGGTCGATGGAAAAGTTGAAGAGAAGTTAATGCTGCCG